GATCAAAGGTGTGTTTGAATATGTGTCCTGTATCAATTTGAAAAGAGTTTTGTCACTGAAGATGAATCTTTTGATTCGAAACCGGTCTGAATTTAAGACATGAATGTCGTGTCATGCCTAACATTAAACTTTATATTACTTTTGATTCCATCAAAAGAAAGACTTTATGATATCATAACACACTTATTTAGTCAGCCCACTATCATCTCTGTGGGCTGATTTTTACAGTCAGTCCAAAACACTGCGGATCGGATTTCTGTGTTCGAAGCTGAACAAAAACCCAAAAAATCTTGCAATGAACGACCGAATTAGAAAATTTGTTGATCACATCAGATGGGGTCTACGACAGTCCAGTGAGGCAGTGAATGGTCACATGCTGCATATCTGTGTAACATACGCGTACAACACAAGGAAAAATAAGAAGACTCACATTACTGGGATATTCCTAGAATCGCTGTGAAGACTCGTACAGGGCGTGGCAGAGCATACTGACAAGAAAACCAGCAGGGAAGTGATGTGCATCACTCAGAAAGTTGAAAAGGATAAATATGTTGGCAGATTTCCAACAGATGCCAGGTGAATGCAATAAATTGCTTTAGTGATGAGGGCAAAGCAAAGGCCAGTCAAGCTACTGACGTGACACAACAGCATACTTTGCCAAGAGCCTGACAAATTCGATCAAAGGGAATTAAACTGTTCTTGAAGGGCCATTATTGGAAGATGGCACTAAAGTAGCATCATAAGACAGGTCTAGGGTATCACCTGACAGGGGAGATTTGCGGGGGAGCTGCGGGAGCTCGAAGCTCCCTAGAACAGCCTGCGCCAGGGTGGTAGCCTTACCATTACGATAAGTCGAGGGGTGGGCATTCTTACGTCCCCTCTGACGCGGCTACTGAGCTACGCAGCGAGTAGAAATAGTGACAAATAGTTATGGGGAAAAATCAGTTGTCTTACCTCCACATTTTTTTTTTAATTTTGTCCGAACCTTTTGATGGGAAGGATTCACAAGGACAGAGCCACCGCTAAGCGAAGCTTGTTGCGATGACCCTGCCCTCTACCCTCCGATCGCGTAATTCCGATTCTATGGCAGAATTTAGAGTCCAAAGTTTAACGTGCGCACAAAGCCGCGCACGGCCGGTCCCCTCGCTGACTTCGCCTGGCTACGGCCTGCCACCAACCGCAACCATACCTGTCAGGAGGCCTATAAATGTCGAGCGCCCGTCGCGCTTCGAACCCGGACTGTCATAACCGGGAACGCGTGCTCTCACCACGCGGAGTCCAACGCTCTAACCAACTGAGCTACAGGACCGGCTCCTTTTCTTTTCAGGAAAAGTCTTCTTTTCAGGAGACTTTTCTACAGGACCGGCTCCCACATGCCTCCTTTTCTTTCGAGGCATACCTACTGCTGCTTTCTGCCAAGATTCTTATAGATAAGGTTGGGACGCCAGTCACGTGACATTTTCTTTCAATTGGTACCCCACGCGAAACTTTTCCCAACCCCGTGTAGCGCTCGGACGAAAAGGAATAACCTTGGTGCCGGCGCCGTTGGCGCCGTAGAGACATTTAGGATAGATGGCAATTGGCATTGCATTTAGGCAATATTTATGTGGCATTTAGGCAATATTTATGTGGCATTAGGGTATGTTGATGTGGCTCCAGATCAAGTAAAATTAACTAATACTTTGGGGGAAAATCGTGTAAAAAGCCCGTTTTTGCCATTTCTTCAACAAATATCTGTCATAAAAATGACACTGATTCACTGCTCAGTTGTCTTTTGGATCTGAGTAGCATCAGTAAACAAGACTAGTTAATTGTTCTCCAAAAGCTGAAGCAGTTCAAAATGACTTTGATGCTTACCGATCTATTAGATGATACAAGCATTATAAAATTCACTAAATGCCCTGGCACCGAGTTTCTCAGATGTCCATACTATTTCATATGTAAAAAATGGCTCACGTTGTAGACGTGGCTTTATTGTGATGCATTGCTGCTGATTGGGAGTAAGTAAGTACGTACCTTATACCGCAGGGGCGGATCCAGGAAAACTCCAAGGGGAGGGTCATGAATCGAAGTGGTGCCCCTACCTATACCCAAAATTAAAAACTCAACGGATTTCGTCCACTTCATTTTGGTGGTGCCCCCATTTTCAGTTTTTTTTATTTTTATTTTTTATTTTTAGTCAGTATCTTAACTCTTAGCCACAACCACATTTACCAATTGTAAGCAAGTATATATGAATGTGCTATGTGCATAGATGCTATGTGTATATATGTTGTGGACGCTGAGTAGTGAGTACTTACCAGGAACGTTATCAGGTAAGCAAATCGTTGTCAGTCCGACGAACTTGACCCTGGCGTCTAAAGGGTCTGTCCTGGACACTTCAGGCTTGTCAGGGGCACCAAAGTCCTTCCAGGGACACCACAAACCTTTCAGGGGCACCTACGGCCTTGTAGGGGCGCCACAGGCCCGCCAGGGGCACCACAGGCCTGCCAGGAAGTAGGGGCACCACAGGTCTAGCAAGTATACACGACAGGCCTGTCAGGGGCACAACGGACCTGTTGGGCCCATGAGCACCCCTAGGGGCAGGGGCACCACAGTCCTTCCAGGGGCACCGCAGGCCTGTGAGGGGCACCAGCGGCCTAGCAGGGGCACCAGTCAACACAGGCCTGCCAGGGGCACCACAGACCTGCAAGGGGCACCAGAGGTCTGCCAGGAGCACCACCGACCTCGCAGGGGTAACTTGGGCCTGTCAGGGGCCAGGGTCACCACGGGCCTGTCGAGAGGCACTTCAGGCTTTTCAGGGGCACCATAGTCCTCTCCGGGCGCAGGGGTAGCAGGGGCACCAGAGGCCTGCCAGGGGCACTACAGGCCTAGCAAGGGCACCACTGGTCTATCAGGGGCACCACGAGCCTGTCATAGCCAGGCATCTCAGGCTTGTCAAGGCCCAGGGGCACCACAGGTCTGTGAGGGGCACCAGCGACCTAGCAGGGGCACCAGTCAACACAGGTCTGCCAGGGGCGCCACAGACCTGCCAGGGGCACCACAGACCTGCCAGGGGCACCAGAGGTCTGCCAGGGGCACCACCGGCCTCGCAGGGGCACCTTGGGCCTGTCAGGGGCACCACGGGCCTGCCGAGGGGCACTTCAGACTTTTCAGGGGCACCAGTCCTCTCCGGGCGCAGGGGTACCAGCGGCCTAGCAAGGGCACCAGAGGCCTGCCAGGGGCACCAGCGGCCTAGCAAGGGCACCAGAGGCCTGCCAGGGGCACCACAGGCCTAACAAGGGCACCACGGGCCTGTCAGGGGCACCTCAGGCTTGTCAGGGCCCAGGGACACCACAGTCCTTCCAAGGGCACCGCAAGCCTGTCAGGGGCACCAGAGGCCTGCCAGGGGCACCACAGGCCTAGCAAGGGCACCACTGGCCTGTCAGGGGCACCTCAGGCTTGTCAGGGCCCAGGGGCACCACAGTCCTTCCAGGGGCATTACAAGTCTGTCAGGGGCACCAGAGGCCTAGCAAGGGCACCACAGGCCTGCCATGGACACCACAGGCCTGCCAGGGGCACCACCGCCCTTGCGGGGCGCCTCAGGCCTGTCAGGGGCACCACGTGCCTACCGGGGACACTTCAGGCTTGTCAGGGGCGTTACAGTCCTGTCAGGGCCCAGGGGCACCAGGCCCGTGGTGTCCCTGCTAGGCCTGTGGTGCCCCTGGCGGTCCTGTGGTGCCCCTGTCAGGACTGTGATACCCCTGATAGGCCGGTGGTGACCCTGGCAGGTCTTTGGGCCCCCGGGCCTCAAGGGGGGGGCCATGACCCATGTGACCCCCCCCCTTGGATCCGCCCCTGCTTATACCTTGTACTATTGGTCTCAAGATAAGGGCCCAGTCGACCTGCAGTTTTGATTAGGTGAATACCCTTGCCCTCGCCACAGCTCGGGCTGAGTGTACCCCTCCTTCCACTCAGCGGCCCAGCGCCAACCCCACTCGAGTTGTGGCAAGGGCGAGGGTATTCACCACATCCATACTTAAGGTCCTGGTCGCCTGGGCCCTTATCTTGAGACCAATAGTACCTCGTAGGATACGAGTTGCGAGGTCTTCTTCACCTGTCTTGCTTGCTCTTTGATTGAATTTCTCTATCTTCTAGATCATCTGTGATACTGTTGATGCAATCAAATCCTAGTAATGTTGCTCAACAAGATAATGAATGTAGGGATGTATGCACTCTGTTTGCTGTTTTGGTACAAATGCCTCTCTGGTCAATGAAAGCAGGGGTTTTCTTTGCAGTTTGTTAATTTATTGTGCAAGGCAATTTTACTTCCAAATGCCAAAGCTTTTTAAAAATGGTACTCAATCCAACGCTATTTTCCGAGGGCCATGTTACTGAATACTGACTAACCTAAATACTTGACTAGTAAGGCTCAAAACAATATTTAATGCATTATCTATGCAAACCAGACTCCACCAAGTTACAACCAAAGTGGGGCATCTTACCATACCTGTAATGTAAAATGTCCAACATCAGTTGAAAGTGTACCGGGTGTTCCGAAAAAAGTGTCACGATTTTAGTCACGTGCGATTTCCGTAAAAATTGTCCGAAATAGTTTGGCTTAAGATATGTTGCTCACAACCCTTGTCGATTTTGGTGGACAAAACGGTTCACCAAAATCTACGATGGTTTTCTCGCCAGAACAAAAAATCAAAATCGTCCGATTATGGTTCGAGACGAAATCGTACGTCACCGTCCGCCGCCGACTTCGACGCGAGTGTGACATGGAAACTCGAGATCTGCCCTGCAACAAACTCATTGCAAGGTTTGTTAACCATTTTGAGACAACAGGTTCAGTCCTGAATACTCACAGGGGCAGCAGCGGCACGTTTGAAACTGTGACACTTTTTTCGGAACACCCTGTACTTAGATATGTCAGGATGACAACTTGTGGTGTTAATTTCAATAAGGTTCAGTCAGTCTCCATCTCCAACGTACTACTTCCGAAAAAAAAACAAAAAGCGAGTACCTGTGCCATTTATTGATTACTGGGCTGCAGATGTACAGTGCGCAGACGAACATTGAAAACGGCGAGCCGTCGAGCGTGGGGAACGAAGCCAGCGGCCACGTATTATGTTAAGTACTTTCCAACTACACCACTCAAGTTATTTGGTTAGGTCATAATGATAAAATGCAATTCATATCAGAGCAAACTCCAGGCGTAGTTTATATAGCTGTTAAGCATAACTCGTTTTTTTTATTTGACACCCTTTAATAGTACAGCATGTGGTTTGGCACGTTCACACCACAAAGTCATCAACAAAGCAAACCAGACTTGGCAGACTGGAGAACAAATTAGGCTCAACGAGGATTCGCCTCGTGACCGATTACAGAAATAATCATTGAAAGAAACCTGGCTATCAAAGCGATATCGTGTGGAAACGTTGGAGTCGGCCCGCCCGGAATCTCGGCTCCCCGCCGAGGACGCAGGGCGACTCCCGGCAGCTCTTGTACCAACGCCAAGCGAGGTCGGAGCCAGTCGCGAAGTGGGCGCGCCGTCGGACAAGATGAGGGCCCGCGCGCACCGTTTGGACGACGGCCGATAACCTGCCACAGGGGGGAGGGGGGGGGGGGTCGTACATGTATGTTAGTGAGTGGTGAAGAAAAGAGCAGAAATGAATAACGTGTACTCTTAACAATTGATCACAAATGTAGTCACTATGATGAGCCATCAAGAGCCATGCGAAAGCGCCACGCCGACGTTCACATTCCGGAAATGAGTATACGCAAAGCGAAATACATTTGCAACTACACATGCGTTATACACGTCATATAAAAAGCGACATTATCAGCTCCAGATCGACTCACCCCCGTCATCTCGCAGCTTGGCATCTGCGACACCAGCTCCGGGTGGGTTGCAGTACGGCCGGGTGCAGCGGCGTGCGACCGTCACGGCAGGGCGGCCGCCAGCCCTGCAGTACGGCCAGGTACAGCGGCGTGCGACCGTCACGGCAGGGCGGCCGCCAGCTCCGGGTGGGCGTGCGCCGTGGAACGTCGTAGGCCGTTCTGCAGGACAAAACGATCGACTGTCAGCTGTGAAGGCTGACGAGCCGAGAATGGAAGGCATGTGAGGCAACTATTCGTTAAATGTTGACACCAAATATGACAAAACAGCGCAAATGGCCGTTCCCAGCCGTAGTATAGCTGTTAAGCATCACTTGTTTTTGATTTGACTCTCAAGTTGAATATCTAATGCAGCATGTGGTTTGGCACATCAACATCACAAAGTCATCAATAAAGGAAACCAGACTTAACAGACTGGAGAACAAATTAGGCTCAACGAGGATTCGCCTCGTGACCGATTACAGAAATAATCATTGAAAAGACAGCAAACGATACGGTTAAAACTCTATGCATCGGTCTGGTCCCAACTCGATTATCAGTAATCGGACCGACCACAAGCAATAGGTACGCAATAAAGACGTTCTGAATCACATGGAAAATAGCAGGTTTCTATACAAGCTGTTCCCTTCACAAATCCAAACCAGACCTGGCTATCAAAGCGATATCGTGTGGAAACGTTGGAGTCGGCCCGCCCGGAATCTAGGCTCCCCGACGAGGACGCAGGGCGACTCCCGGCAGCTCTTGTACCAACGCCAAGCGAGGTCGGAGCCAGTCGCGAAGTGGGCGCGCCGTCGGACAAGATGAGGGCCCGCGCGCACCGTTTGGACGACGGCCGATAACCTGCCACAGGGGGGAGGGGGGGAGGGGTCGTACATGTTTGTTAGTGAGTGGTGAAGAAAAGAGCAGAAATGAATAACGTGTACTCTTAACAATTGATCACAAATGTAGTCACTACGATGAGCCAAAACAAAACAACAAGCATTGCATTAATGGCAGTTGGCACCACTACATAATACTTAGTAAGATAGTAGCAACATAATGAGTATTGTGATACATCTGAGATCTGATGAAATGATTGAAGTCATGAATTTCCATTTCAGACTGACCAAGGATCATCTAAACTTGATGCAATTTCGAAACTGACAAACGTAAGACAACATGTGCATGAACATGAGAGGAATTTAATCATTTGAAGCTCATTTAATGTTAAGCTGTTTGGATTAAATTATTAGCATTCAATTTGACCTTCACCTTAGCATTACCATTATTGAATTATTCTAGTTTACAAGTGATAAGTATGAGGCTAGTTACAACAACAAGATTACCTTCTCTTGAAGTCATTCCAAGCAAATAGGGTTGGACCAGCTTCTTTCTTGCCATTCCTAAAATGACAAGAGCACACTCTTGAATGCTCATTGGGCTTTGCATCTTGTCTCCTGTGAAAAAGCAAAGCAATAAAGTTGGTTCTATTAGCAGAAAATGAATCAGACAGCATGGCCCTGCTTCACGGCAAGCCGTAGTTACCAACTCACCGCAGCTGGGCATTGGTGCTCATTTTCAAAAGAATTTAGAAATGTCAGTGAAATATCTAAACAATTTTGCCAGCATTTCCATTTGGACAGAATTTTGTCAGCATTTCCATTTGAACCTGAATGTGGGTAGCAGCGTGCAGTGAAACAGGGCCCTGCTCAGCAATGCTAAGCAAAGGGTGGAAACAAACAGTTGAAAATGAAAAGACAAACGAGCTAGAGCAGCATCTCCACACCAGCAGACTTCCTACATCAACCAATCTACAAATACACACCAGCAAGCACCAAGCAAAATCAGCAATTTTTACAACCAAATGTACCTACCTAGAAATTTGGGTAGGTACAAGTGGAGCAGACGTCACACCAAGGTTTTCCAGCTAAGGAGAGGCGCTATACCCGGAGATGCTTCTTTCTAACCTAAACGCCGGTGGTGTTGGCACCTTCACCCACTGTTCTGGAGGCACCACTGAGATCCGAACTCAGGATCTCCTGTTTACCAGAAAACAAACATAACCTAACCTGGCCTAACCTACAAACCTACAGCGCCTATCTTTGGTTGGAAGGCCTTTGCGTGACGTCTGCTCTACTAATGCCAAAATTTGTACTTTTGGTATGATTAACTGCAACAAAAGGTGCTTACTCCCTTGCTGATCCTGCTGAGCCTCCCATACAGTCATACTGATACATTGTTTGCAATTGTACCATTTGAGAAACAAAGAAATGTGCCGACTGAAAAATATGGATACAAAGAATTGCTGGGACAAACATTTTCCCGACAAGTAATTACGCGATGAAGAATTTTTTTTATAAATTTAGTCCGAACCTTTTGATGGGAAGGATTCACAAGGACAGAGCCACCGCTAAGCGAAGCTTGTTGCGATGACCCTGCCCTCTACCCTCCGATCGCGCAATTCCGATTCTATGGCAGAATTTAAGGCTGCCGTCCACTGCGACGGAATTCCGTCCGGAGTCCGTCCGGAATGTCGCCGCATCCGGTCCGGATGCGGTCCGGATGCGGTCCGGATGCGGAGAGCTAATAAATGTTTCCTATCACTTATTACCAAATAAAATATTGCAAGTAACCAGCAGCGAATACTCTTGCCATTCTAAGGAAATAATTTTTACTTACTTCATGATGATCGAGTTCCAATTCTTCGTACAATTCACAATGTTTGCCTCCGATACGGCCCCAAACCACGTCTGTTCCGGACGTTCCGGATGCGTTTTCCGCAGAAAAGTTCAACGCGTCGGACATCACTCTTCCGTCTCCGTAGCAACCGCATCCGAAACGCATGCGGAGAGCTGACGGAAAATCAACAGCTGATTGCCGTTCGGATGCGGTCCGGACGGAGCGCACACGATTTCCGTACGGACCGGATGCGCCCATAGGGTTCTGTGTTAAATTCCGTACGGACCGCACGCGTTCCGCACAGTGGACGGCGGCCTTTAGAGTCCAAAGTTTAACGTGCGCACAAATCCGCGCACGGCCGGTCCCCTCGCTGACTTCACCTGGGTACGGCCTGCCACCAACCGCAGCCATACCTGTCAGGAGGCCCATAAATGTCGAGCGCCCGACATTTTAGGTAAGGTACTTAAAAAGATTTGTCCTGAAATCACCTAGAAGTTACCCAAGCAGGTACTTAACAAAATGGTGTGAGCCTGTGAGGGTTGCATATCTAGAAAGTCATAAAAGCAGCAATATCACGATAATAAACAAAAGGAGATATCACAATGTCGCATGACGAACCTCATCAGTGTAGTCCATTTCTTCAACTCCCCCTCGTCCCGGGGCAATCGGAAGAAGGAGCACTTGGACTGGGACCTGGCGCTGGAATGACTGCATTGAGGCACAAAACAAAAAGGCATATTTGCTCCTTAGATGTAAGACTAACTCATCTCCGAGATTATTCGCCCCAACAGCACTCAAACTCGATGAAAAAAGCGGGAAAAGCCAAAAGGGCGAATCAATGCACATTTCTGATTATCTGTTCAAAAAGCACTTTCATAAAGATACGGAATGCGCTGATTGGCTTTAACGTGATGCGCTAACGTCACTCAACGTGAAAAAGCAGCCGTAAGCGGTTTTTCGAATATATATCGAATAAATGTATTGTTTGCGCAGTATTTATAACAACAAAAACTGAGGCTCCTTCTCGCCCTTGGAATGTGCCATCGTTCGAGTGGTGCATCAAAAATTATTTTTGTTTTTATGGGATGAATACGTAGTTCTGTTCATCCTTCTATGAGATAAGGAAGAAAATTAGATGTCCCCGGCAGTAAAATGAAGATTTTTGGCACCTTGCAACACCCTGACAAAAGTCCATAGGATTTACATAATGTTTTAGAAGAAGAAAAAATCGTTGAACCCCACCGCCATTTTCTGGTCACGTGATGTCACCCACCTGCTTTCTGCAACACAAGAGAGGCATTATCTGGCGTGTGCCTACAAATAGCTTTAATGGGAGCAATTATTATGTCTTTATTGCTTCCATTTTTGTGCCAGAGAAGGTACATATGTCGTAGGCATTGTCTGAAATCCGGCAGTTCATGAAATGTCTAGGCATTACGCGGAATGCCGGCAAAGACTGAAATCTTCGTAGAAATACGCCCGTTACAGCCAATGACTGAAAATTTTAGGCATTTCATGAAATGACAGGCGGAGACCAGGAAGTCGCCGAAATACGGTCAAAATTAGCTGAGTACCTATACTCTTTGCCTAGGCATTACATGAAATGTCTCAAGTGACGACCGGCACATTCTGCAACGAATACCGCAGACGTGCGAGTTCCCGCGCCTTTTTCGCATCCAAAGGCTTCTGGCTCGACACCGAACCTAACCGACACCACCTAACCTAACCTAACCTAACCTATCTACTTTTCACATAACGCGATGCGTTAGGTTTGGTATGTTATCTGTAGATGAAAGTAGGATTATGTAAGGTTAGGTTACGTTAGGGTTATGATTGAGTTCGAAATTAACTTGGCCGGACGGGATTTGAGCCCGCCATCTCGCCACGGAGTTCAATATTTGATACCATGCACCATCATCCCATTCCATCGGTGAGATTTTTATCGGCCTTAATCGTCTCCGACTCCGACTCCGGGCAGATTTGTCGACTCCGACAGACTCCGACTCCGACTCTGACTCCGCAGCCCTGCGGCTGTGCCGATAGGATGCAGTCGTTGAAAGTGAGAGTCGACGCCGGACGCCGCACGGCAGGAGACGGTGAGTGGGTTAGGAAGAGACGGTACGAGGAAAAAAGAAGACTGACGGTCAGTGTGGTCGACTGTGCTCGAGGCTGTGAGACACGGTTGCTGGTGGGGTCGATGGGAAGGGGGGGGGGGGCGGCAGCAGGAGGACGAGACTGAACGGGAGACGTTTGATGTGAAATGCCTTATGCCGTAGTATCCAAGTAGTGTCCACTAGTGACTTTGCTTGCTATCGCTGCGCATGGAAATGGTGATAAAATTTGAAATCGATTTGTGTTGTGATGTCGATTGGACGTCTAGAAGCTGAAAAGGTCAAATTAGGTCATGCTGGGTCATGTCAGGTCACAAGGGGTCATGACAGGTCACTAGGACCCCTCAGGTCACAGTAGGTCAGGTCAGGTCACCTCAGGTCACCATTGGTCATGACAGGTCACTGGGACCCCTTAGGTTACGATAGGTCGGGTCAAGTCACGATGGGTCATGCAAGGTCACAGAGGTCGCTTCAGGTCACGATTGGTCATGTCAGGTGACAGAGGTCACCTCAGTTCACGATATCAATTGTTCATTCGTTCTTCTCACTTCCATGCGAAAATCCCCACTGACCCATCTAAAATATCATTTTCCCCATTGCCATAACATTACAAGCCGACACTGCAGTGTCCTCTTACGAGGGGTCCTGCAAGTTGTCAGGGGCATGTCAGCCACTAAAAACCCTGGATACTAATAAGAAGACGGTCTAATCTTTCATTTGAGACCCTTTATCACATCTAACTCGCATTCAAAAACTCGTACGAGTCCGTCAAAACTGCTCTTTTTAACATGGGAAGGCATTAGCGAGTCTATGATGTCGACTGTAGTTGGCCGCCGGGCCGCTTTACGTATCTAGCGAGCGGGTTTTAAACAGGGCTGTCCTATCTAGTCTTTATATCTGTGATCTCCATCGAGAATATCGATGGAGGTCTTGTGACGTCACTCGTCACGGCTGTCAAAGGCGTCACTCGGAGGCCTTTCACAGCGTCGAGCACGGCTGTCTCCTGGACAAGCTCGGTTGGTATGGGATCGAGCCCGACTGGTTTTCTGCGTGGCTGCGCGGACGTACTCAAACTGTGCGAGGTGGTACTGAGGCGCTGGACGTGACGCACGGCGTGATCCAGGGGTCCATCCTCGGGCCAGTGCTCTTTATGCTTTTCACTAATGACCTCCCGCAGCACATATCCAACGGAAAACTCATAATGTACGCAGACGACACCCAGTTCCTCGATGCCGACCAACCAACCAATATTCAGGCACTAAAATCTCGCATAGAAAACACCCTTTCTGTAGCACTTGCATGGTTCACTCAGAACAGTCTTGAAATAAACCCAGCAAAAGCCGAAATGGTCACACTCAAGTCACGGCGTCAAAATTTGGATGAAAACATCTCAGATGAAAACCATTTGGTCATGACAGGTCACCATTTGGTCATGACAGGTCACTGAGATCCCTTAGGTTACGATAGGTCGGGTCAAGTCACGATGGGTCATGCAAGGTCACAGAGGTCGCCTCAGGTCACGATTGGTCATGTCAGGTCACAGAGGTCATCTCAGTTCACGATATCAATTGTTCGTTCGTTCTTCTCACTTCCATGCGAAAATCCCCACTGATCCATCTAAAATATCATTTTCCCCATTGCCATAACATTACAAGCCGACACTGCAGTGTCATCTTATAACATTACAAGCCAAATACGCCAGCCAAAAGCAGCGTATCAAAAAAAGGATAAATTTCGGTGTTCACATCGTCGCTGGTCTGAGCCGCCGTGATCATGTCACGCCTGCGTTGCGGGAACTCGGGTGGTGCAAGGTGGATGAGATGATTACAGAGCGTGACATCGCCAGTCGCCACACTGCGTCATTTGATCGTAGCCCCCTGTGCGTCCGAGGTGTTACGCGAGCGAGTCGTCCTGCGCTCCGATGTGTCCTCCCGCCACACCCGCGCAACGGCTGACGGCCAGCTGCAGCTGCCCAGAGTGCGCACTGAGTTTGCCTGACGTAGTGATCTTGTCGCAAAACTCAAAGCACTCGAAGTCTTCAGAAAACGAGACAGCAAACGTAGTAGGCAATAGATACAAGGTATATTTCCATGGGTCAAAATCGTTTATTGAGCAAACCGGTTTCATTGCCAGCCCGCGCCTGGCGGCGTTTCAATTCATATACCGTGCGCTTATTCAGTATACCTGTCGTGCGGTGCGTTTTAGGCATTCCCATATAATGAAATAAGTAGATAAAGGTTCTGAGAAAACAGCGGCCACTCCTGCTATTCTTGCTGCGTGAAATCACTCATTCAACGTCAAAGGCGGCCAAGAACTGTTGTTGTTCCAGTACTTAAGTTCCGTATCCGTAGCATTTGGGTTCTGTATCTGTAGCACTTGATTCCTTATCCGTAGCGACGGCTGCCCTGTGCAAAGGAGCGGACCGGCACGCGGCCAGAGCTCACGCGGCCAGAGCTCACGCGTCCGAGCCCACCGTGCACAGAGCCCACACGTCCGAGCCCGCTGCTCACGCGTCCGAGCCCGCCGTGCACGGAGCCCACCCGTCCGACTCCGCTGCTCACCCGTCCGACTCCACTGCTCACCCGTCCGACCCCGCTGCCGTACGACAGGGAGCGGCCGAAGCGGCCCTTCCCGAAGGCCTTTCCGCCGCCGAAGCCCTTTCTGCCGCCGAAGCCGCCGTGGCTGATGCCTCCTCGGCGGCCGAACGCGCCGCCGATCGGCCGGCCGAAGGCGCCGCCGATCGGCCGGCCGAACGCGCCGCCATGGCCGCCGCCGAACTTGGAACCGAGCGCCGAAACGCTCAGCACCACCAGAATCAGCGTCACCAGCTGAAAAGGGCAGGGTTTTGTGAGCACTTATCCCACTGATTGTAAACAGTTGCCATAAACGCTGCGGGCAGGTGCACCGTGCAACTAAAGTGGGAGATAAAAAGATCGAATAAAGGTGTTGTCAGTGCTGCGGCTAACATGATGCACGCGCTGCACGTAAGTTGCTGCGAGACGGTACAAGACTGATCGAGAGCGGACAAGCCCGGCTACCCGCGGCTCCAGCGTCAGACGGCAGTGCCGGACTGATTCACTGGACCGCAGAGCAGGCTCAGCGGGGCGCGGGCCCGTGCAGAGCAGGCTCAGCGGGGCGCGGGCCCGTGCAGAGCAGGCTCAGCGGGGCGCGGGACCGTGCAGAGACCACAGAGCAGGCTCAGCGGGGCGCGTGACCATGCAGAGACACCACAGAGCAGGCTCAGCAGGGCGTGAGCCCGTACAGAGCAGGCTCAGCGGGGCGCGGGCCCGCGCAGAGACACCACAGAGCAGGCTCAGCAGGGCGTGAGCCCGTACAGAGCAGGCTCAGCGGGGCGCGGGACCGTGCAGAGACCACAGAGCAGGCTCAGCGGGGCGCGTGACCATGCAGAGACACCACAGAGCAGGCTCAGCGGGGCGCGTGACCATGCAGAGACACCACAGAGCAGGCTCAGCGGGGCGTGAGCCCGTACAGAGCAGGCTCAGCGGGGCGCGGGCCCGTACACACACTGAGACCACCAGCCACCGGGTGCCGCTGGCCCAACCCATGTTAATAAACTGGCTGGCTGAGGCTGCTCTTCAGCTCAATGTTAGATACTTCTTTTGTGGCAATTTAACTTCTGGTGCAGTGTGACATTTTCTACCAGTAACTATCAAGTATTAATAAAAAATATGTTTTTAAGTTCA